AGACATGCCTAACTACCAGTTTCCTGTCACAAAAGAAACAAATCGCTAAATGCAACTAACACTTAACAAAAACTCCAGAAATATAATAAAACTAAAACAAAGAGCTTTGGGTTGTCTCTCAAGCAGTGCCTTTTTTTAACGTCTTTGACTAGACGTTAAGCATCACTTCTCAATCTGGATGTAATTCAAATTTTCTTGCAATCGGTGACATTCCTCGAAGATCTAAATAGCTATTGAGTGCAACCATTCTTTTTAATTTTCTACTCATTTTCACCTCATAAATTGCTTTCATCCCATGATACTTATTCGCAGCAAATTTGCATTTAACCCTATAATCAAACTCAGAAAATTTTTGTATAAAAAGATTAGTAGCATGAATGACAAACACAGAATAAGAGTTCATAGGATGTTTTATTGTATCAAAAATATTAAAGTGGACTATTTCTCTATCAAATTTCATTGTAAGAGTACCCCTATTAACATCAATCTTAGTTTGGCAGTGCTCAAGAAGGGTCTTCCTAATATAATAGGTAATGGATTTGAAGCACTTCTATCATCTATATAAAGCACATAAAAATCAGTAGGAAAAATTAATCCATCTACTTGCACTAAAACATTCTCAATTACCCCATTCGGATAAGCAAATGTACGATCAGCCAATTGAATTATTATCTCTGTTTCTTTCAAAGGTCCTAAATTTAGAAAATCATAAATTGATTTAGGCATCACGTTAATAGAAATCCCTAAATCTAGCATTGCATCTCTAACCTTAGTATTCCCGATTCCACATGAGATTGAGAACATATCTGGGTCTCTATATTTTGGAGGTAACTTCCTTTGCAGCACTGCTGATACGTTCTCCCCCACCACAACTCGTTCATCTCCCCTCAACTTTTTTTTATTAACGCATAAGTTCTTCAAGAACTTGGTGTACTTGGAAACCTGCTTGATTGAATCCAATAAAGGGATGTTGATTTGCACCTTTCGAGACACCACTAAGATCTCTTTTTCCTTCTCTTGCTTTCTTAGCTTCTCCAACCTGCTAGGAAAAGATGGAGTGTTAGACTTATGATTCACAAGAGAGTTAGAGATTACCTTGGAATTTGAATTTTTCCCTCCTTCCTCAAGTTTCTTTTTATTTGCTCCTCACTCTTATCTTTAGGGACTATTGGCCGGGGCCCTTTAACTTCTTTACCGCTTCTCAAAATCATGGCACTCACGTTCTTTGGATTTGCTTCGGATTGAGATGGTAACTTCCTAAGAACGTGAGTCTAGACGGTTGATTGCAGTTGCTATGTGGTTTATCTGATTTTTCAGATTTTTCATGCCAGACCTTGTCTCCTGTTGGAATTGAGCAGTACTTTGCTAGAGTTGGGTAGTACTTTCGGCCAAATTCTTGACCAACTCTTCCAAGAAGCTTCATCCATTAGAGAATGAGAAATGGGCCTTCAGCTAATATTGGGGCTGGAACCCTGGCAGCCTATTTGGACCAAAATTTTGTTGACGTTTCCCTCCGTAACTAAAGTTCGGATGATTCCTCCAACTCGGGTTGTAGGTATTGGAGTATGGATCATATTGCCTCCTTGGCGCGGGCACGTTACTAGTCATGTTGACTTGTTCAGGGCTCTCGTCTTGAAATATTGGGCACATATCAGTAGCATGTCCCGTGTTGGTACGGATCCCACCAACCTTAACTTATTGTATATTTCCTACAGCCAATTGGCGGACATTAAAGTTAACTCCGACAACTACTACTGAATAGATGAACTTTTCACCTCATTCAGTTGATGAGTGGGACATTATCTCTGGGGCCAAATTGTTGTGAGTTCTGGGCCATTTCCTTAGGGACTAGCTAGGTGATTCTCACCCCCCTAATATCTAAGGTTGTCCCAAAAAAATCTCGTGATGGGCTTTCTCAGCCCGACTTCCAACTGATCTATATAGATAGCCACCCTGGATTTCGGGGGCATCTCGACAAACTGGTCTGCTTTGGGAGGATAGATACTATAGCATCGCCGAAACGGGTAATTACATAATAGGGCTTCCGCCTCAGCCCTCCCAACCGTGCTCCTGAAAAAAGGGAGCTAGCCAAAATCTACTCTAGTGAGGTCTAGTGGGGCCACCGGCTCCAATACCCCTTCATCTCAGGGTACCCCGGATCTGAGGTCATCATTGTATAGAACCTCGGAATCCACATCCTCAGCTTCATGGGAAACCTCGGCTCTTTCTTCCTCTTGGTGGGCTAAGGTACCTTCAGTTGTACTTAGTCCCCTCGGTGCTTCCTCAGAAGGGTCGGGCATCTCCGCTTCTTCAAAGTTCAGCTTCACTGTCTTTTTATGCGTGCGGGCTACCCTACCTATACTTGAAAAGGAAAATAGACTTACTATTCTCTAAAAAAGGTTGAGATTGGCTACTGTGCACTTGTAAGAAATAATCTCAATGGTTTGCCTCGGTTGAGTTGCAGTAATTTCCTCTCACAGTGAAAGTAAAAGGTGAAAACCCCTCTATTTATAGGGATGAGGGAAAGGCAAGCGAGCATTCATTTTGAATTTCAAAAGACATGCTCCCTCTCTCCTCATTAATGTGTGATTGTCCATCTAATATCCATTCAATGCATCCCTCAACGTTCTAGCATTCATTTTTCCCATTGACACTTGGCATACCATCGTCCCAATGTGTGCCACGTCCTTCCGTTACTCTGCGCCTTAGTCTCGAGTAGGGAGGCATGCCAGCTTTTCCCTTCCCAAGGCTGGGGGCTTATTAAGGGCGTTCACCTCAACCCTCATTGGCTTTGCGATTGGACGAGGTGATCTTTAGAAGTCCCGTGCCACCTTGGCTCATTGCCTCACCCCATAGGGCCGGTCTCTGACTCTCCGAGATGGTTTCACCTCGGCTCGACCTCCTATCTTCATCCCTGACATCTGACATCTGACGTCCCACTGAGAAAGCTGACTCATGCATGACAGAATGACGTGACAAAATGACATAACCATTGTCATGTCCCCTTCATCAGGCCTAACTCTGACACTGTCAGAGTTTGGTCCACGGGAATTGGAACTCATCATTCTTCCCACCATATTGTCTACTATAAATACCTTTCCATCCGTAGGAAAGGTACGCATTCACATACACACCCACATATACACACATACTAAAGACTCTTAACCCCTTACTTTTAGTTTGCAATTAGGTATCCGAACTGACTTGATCGTCGGAGTGGGACCAGGGGACAAAGCCCCGTATACTGCAGATGTGACAGGTGAATTCCTTTGACTCGGTCCAACCATCCGGAAGTCACCTCTTCACATACAGTTCAAAAGTCAAATGTACCACCATACCTATAGGAAAATTCTGCTTTTTGGATATCATTACCTCAACTTGCATCTCTAACTAAAGATAATAGTTTAAATTTCAAATATTTAACAATTTTTAATCTAAAGGTCAATAACACTTCTTTTACCATCTAATGATGAATTTTTCTTGGGAATATGATACCAAAAATGGATGGTAAAATCTCCTTATACTATATTTAATCACTTACTACCTGGCAATGCTAGTGTTACTGTTCTTATGTTCTACTAATTGAGTATAGTCAAGTCGACTTTATTCTCAATTATAGTAGAAGAGATGAAAATTTGTCAAAAATTAAATAATATAGAAAAGTGCACAACAAATGAATATTGTCTTCCTCTTCATTCTTCTTATTAGGTTTAAAAAGTCTTAATCATGGGCCAACCCTAAAAACACCAAGCCAGACAAGACCAAAAAGCATATTAAATAACCTATTAAGACCTACTCAAGCCAACTGCAAAGCATCTTTTAGTTTTTTAATTTTTTTGAAATCAGTTGAGAAGTGAACTTTTTTTTTTTTTTTTTTTTTTGGTCCAAGATGAGATTCCAAATCTTACAAGGAAAAAGTGGAAGAAAGATCTCAAGATCAGCTGACTAATGTCGTTACCAGTTAAATTGGATTTTGGAGACTTCTTCCTCTTCAGATACTTGCAAACTTGGTGTTTTATCTCTCTAAAAGTGTATCAATTACATTAGAGAGTGTTCATTATCCATCCACATAAATGTGGAGCTGAGAATGAGTTTGGATTCTATAGTTTGATCCAAGCCCTATGAGTTGTATGGGTTATAATACAATTTGATATTAGTATTCATTTATTGCTGATGAGTTAGCTTTTTTTTTTTTTTTTTTAAGACTTAGTTTGTATGAAGGCGCAATATGTATTGACACGTCCATCAGTGGCGCTAATTTGCTTCCCCTATTCGCAGGGTTTAAGCATTATCAATATTCCACGCTTTTGCTCACCCACTCTCTCTCACTCTGCTCATTTCTACATGTGCCAGCCCTCAAAAGATCAACGCCGAAGAGAAGAAATTAGTCATAATGATGTTGTCTCTTCGTCAACCCTTTAGTACTTTCCGGTAATCCCCCCTTCCTTTTCTTCATCTATGCATTTTCACTTCTTTTACACGTTTTCCTTTATTTTTTCTTTTTGCTTTTCCTTTCATGGGTAGTAAAGGGCTCAAGAAATGCCCTTTTCTTTAGGAAATTTTGGTTTGTGTTCCCCTTTTTTCAACCCTTTATGAAGAATATTTACGATGTGTGTTTTGATGTGTGGACTCTGATTGCAACCATAGAGTTGATTCTGCAATTTAACTCGTAATTTTCAAGGTGGCATTTTTGTTTTGGTTTTTGAAAGAAAAACATATTTAGGAGAGGATTTTTGGAATGATAGAAGCTAGAACTAGTAATAGTTGGAGATGGGACAAAAGGTTTTTTTTTCCCCCTTTTTTTGTCTATTTCTGAAAAAGAAGATAAATTATGTGAAGAAATGGAAGGAATGTACTTTCACTGATAAAAATAAATTCCAAGGTTGTTGCAATTTCTTAGTCAGACTATTTTCTTTCTGGATTTTGCTTCTGCTTAGATGTTATTACCTTACTAATATTCCTTTTTAAAATGAGGGAACAAGAATGTACACTTTTGTTATCGCCATTAGTGCTCTAATCTTGCATCATATTTATAAGCGGATATCTGATTACTTGAACTTTTCTGCTTAAGAAAAATGTGGATTCTATACATGGTTCTTTGCTAAGTTCTGGTTTGATCAGAGAAACTGAAAAAAGTAAATTTTTTAATGAAGCAGGAGGTTCGGTCAATCCAACTAGAATTTTTCCTATAAACCTGTAGTGTGCCCCCAAAATGTGGATGCAGAAAGTACAGGGCATTTTCACCTAATATGGATGAGTTCTCTGTTATTACTGCAAAGTGATGTCCTCTAATGCCATTACATGTATAGAGAGCTGCAACTTTAGAGGCAACATGATCTTGCTAGTTAAATTTGATTGAATGCTTGGGATTAGCATACAATACTTTTCCTTTCATAAAAGATGTTGCTCCTCAACTTCTTGAAACCTTGTCACAGCTGATGAATTGATAGTTTTTTTTTAAAAAAAATTAGGGTGTAATATAAATCACCAAGAAGGCGCTTGATGGGAAATGCATATGAAGTTATTTATTTATTTATTTATTTTTATACAGGGAAGGGGGTTTAACATGGGAGCCAAAAGTCCTTAGCTGTATCTATTCAGTATTTTAACTTATAGCAAGGTCAAAATAGGTTCGTACAGATGGTATTTTATTAGTGCTTTTCTTTTATTTATCTATTTATTCCTTTTGCATCATGTTGTACTTCAATGGCTTTGATTATAAAGAAAACTTGCTGGATTACTTGTTTAGACTGCATTTACTTAATAGTCCACTGTATTTTGTTTGTACTCATTCTTGATCAAGTTTACCACGTCTTCTAGGAACACAGATTTGGGGCGAGGATTTCCCTATTTTGCTATGATTTAGAAACAACAAGGTGCGCATTGGAGAACTGCAATTCAGGTTATGCTGGATCTCAACAAATGATATCCAGTAGATATCTGTCTCCGACATGGTTCTTCAACGCAAGTTGTGATTCTCAAAAATTACTTTCAGGAACCCGCAGTCTCACTTCTCAGGCTGGCACTGAGAGTAGTGGACAAGATGATGATGACTTGGAGAATGGGTTTTCCAAGTTTGGAACTTCAACTACTTCTGATCTCTTTAATGAAAGCCATGCAGTTCATGAAAATGAGGATGATTTAATCTGTGAATCAGAACTCTCTGAAGAGGATGCTGGTAATATCAGGGAGGCCAAACCTCAAAATGAGCTGGAGGTATCTGGTGTTGAGACTGATGATGGAAAGAGAGCTCTGCAGTAAACAACTTTCTTCCGTATTGTGCAAGGCCATTTTGGCTGCTCCAGCTTTATCTGTTCATAAGCTTGTAGACCACTGGATTGAAGAAGGAAACGAAGTAACTCGATCAGTAATAGCATCAACCATGTTCCATCTGCAGAAGAGACGGATGTTTGAAAGCGCTTTAGAGGTAATTTAGTCTCATAGGTGGTGCTGTATATTGTTTACCAGATTCAGCATTCATATTTGCAAAATTGATTCTACTTTTGATATTGATAACTACACTCAATTTTACTAATTTTATGTTTCTGTATTTTAATGATCGTAATCTGATGATGTTTCTTGTGCTTTAGCTTTTGGAGAGTTGCCTAATAAACATAATTTCCAGAAAAAACTCTTAAGAATTTGAAACTATGTATTTATCCAAAATATGGTAAACCGCTAATGTTTGATAGGCATCTGATATGTCTGGATCCTTAGAAGCAGATTGTATAATCTTACATTGAGCTGAAAAAAATACATGAGAAGCTATTGATAACATTTTAAATTGCATTTGGTTGGAAAAATAGAGAATCAGCTTACTTGAAGAAAAATTAGTGCGGTAGAATCTGCTTAAGTAACAAATTGGAATTTAGAATATATTTTTGAAGCCTTTATGATATCTAGTATGTACTCTTATACCCCTTTCAATAGTGGCTTCCTCTGGATATCAATATTTTGAGTGCTTAACTGTGAGAGAGGTCCTCATCTTTAAGGCATTGACTTCCATAACTGGAAAGAGTTTTCTCTCTCTATGTGGAAAGCTGATGCCTGTCTATTTGGAGGTTGGAAGTTCTCTCTTTGCATCTTTAGGTCTGTTATAGAACATGAGGCTGTTATCTAGCTTCTTCTCAGGGTTTGTTTAAGTCAACCAAAACGTTGGTGCTTGCTCAGACAAGACACCTTGCATTCTCATGGTTGTGATGATTCATTCATCCATCATATGGGTTTATTGTTATCATTGTAGACAATGATTTGTCTAAATAAAAACAGTATAAGAATGGATCTCAGGCTAACTGAGTTAGAAAGTTTTTGACTAAAATGGACTAGGAAATTCTAGTGAGTTTTGGCACAGTTTTAACCAGTCAAGACATGGATATTGTAGTCAATAGCATCCAAACGTCTAAGTTCTGTTAAATCCTTCTAGAACAATTAGTACTGAAGTTCTTCTTGACTGTCAATGGCCAAGTTCCCTTTTATTTCTTTCTTTTTGGTTGTCCTTTCTTTCCTTTTCTGTTCTTTTTGAAAGTAAAGATGCTATGCTTGACCATACCAAATTCTTGTTGATTATTTAGTCATTAGAGTTCCTTAGTCCAATAATTGTTGGAGAATTTAGATAATCCGATACTTGGGTAGTAATTTTTGTCTTTCTCTGAGCATGTCATTTTTCTTGTGCGCATCCTAAGAACTCAACCTTGAAAACCATGGGAGTCTATTGTATTCTAGTTCATCCGAATAAGGACAATCTCCCCAAATGATGCACATATTGTGCTTGTATAGTTTTGAGGTTAAATAGCAGAATAAACATTCTAGCAAAGTGGTAATTTCTTGGTTGAAGTGCATTCTTATTTGCCTGTATGGTTGAGGTTTGTTTATGGCATGTCACGTATGCAGTGAGCCACCAATATGGAGTGGTTTACACTGATGCTTGCGCTTAGATATGTGAAACTGTAGGGAGAAGGTGCTCTTCCAAGAGTTAATACTATTAGTTGAGCTGTGTGGACCAGTTTGAACTGTAAGTGCTAGACAAGACAGTGACATGGATATATTGGGAGATACTGAACTACATGGTAGAAGAAAGTTTTGCTTATAACCAAATGCTCCATGTCTATTTTCCCATATGCCAATAGGACAGCAATAATTTTGTAGGAACTTTGCTTCTTGCTAATACTAGCATATGTTCTTGAAAGATTCACAACTACTCGTGTACAGAAGTTACAACGTCTAATTCACACATGCTTATAGAGTTTCACCTGATCTGTTTCATGTTCGTTTTGTGCTTCTGGAGTTATTTACACTTGACATATTTATTTTCATGGGACAGTTCTCAGAATGGTTGGAGTTGGAAGGCCACGAGTTTGGTGAGAGAGATTATGCTTCTCGTGTTGATTTGATTGCCAAAGTGCATGGTCTTCAGAAGACAGAAAGTTATATTGCAAACATCCCAAAATCCTTCCAAGGTGAAGTTGTTTATCGTACACTATTAGCCAATTGTGTTCCTGTAGCAAATGTGAAGAAAGCTGAGGAGGTTTTCAATAAGATGGAAGGATCTGGGATTCCCAATTACAAACATTGCTTGTAATCAGTTGCTTTTTTTTATATAAGAGGTTGGACAAGAAGAAAATTGCTGATGTTCTTTTGTTGATAGAAAAGGAAAAGGTAAAGCCTTCTCTATTCACATTACAAACAATTGATAGATGTCAAAGGTCAATCAAATGGCATCACTGGCATGGAGAAAATAGTTGAGACAATGAAGGATGACGGTTTAGAACCTGATTTTGCTATAAAAGACTTGTTAGCTAAGCATTACATCTCTAGTGGGCTGAAAGAGAGAGCTGAGAATCTGTGGAGATGAATGTAAAGAAAAATCGTTGGGCCTACCGCTCTTTAATTTCTATGTATGCAGCCCTTGGAAAATCTAATGAAGTGGAAAGAATCTGGAAGATTTGTGAATCTAGATCACGGCCTCTGGAATGCTTGGCAGCCATTGAAGCTTGGGGAAAGCTAAACAAAATTGAAGAAGCAGAAGCAGTGTTTGATACTTTGTGGACAGCATCGAGTAAGCTGTCCTCAAAGCATTGTTCTGCTCTACTGGGAGTTTATGCAAATCACAGATTGTTGGACAAAGGAAAGAATCTTGTGTAGCAGATGGCCGACAGTAACTGCCATATAGGGCCACTGACTTGGGATACGCTTGTTAAGTTTCTAGTTGATGCTGGTGAAGCCGAAAAGACTGACACTATTTTACAGAAGGTTGCAGAACAGAAACAAATGAAGCCAAGTTAAGTTCTTACATGACCATTATGGATCACAATGCAGAGAGGGGTGATGTACAAAAAACTGAGAAACTGTTCCACAGGATGAGAAAGGTGGGTTATGTACCCATATCCGACAGTACCAAGCACTTGTTCAGGCCTATATTAAAGCCACGGCTCCTGTTTATGGGTTCTACAACAGAATGAAAGCTGACAATCTATTCCCCAACTGCCCAGCAGAGCCTTGGCAGCTCAATTGGCTCAGGTAGATCCCTTTAATGAGACAGTTTCAGAGTCGCTCAAATGAGGTGGTCTACTGGAGATTTTCCGGTTGCAAAATTGTTTGCAAGCAAAGTTATGAATTGTCTGCATCAGCATGTTATTGTACAGAATTAGGTGTAGAATTAATTGCAGGTTGAAAACTAAGAATTCTTGCTTCTTTTTTGGTTTTAAAATGTTCCATTTTTCCAATTGGAACCAATCTGATGTGCTTGTCCTTGCTTCTTTTGTTGCAGTGCCTTCCTAAATCCTTGGTGAAATGTTGGGGGAGTAAATCTGGCTACACTTACAGGATGTTTTTACCCCACTTGGGATCTAACCGGTTATGGGTCTGACAGCTTGACCTTTCATTGAAACAGGTCGTAGGAAAGTACTTTGCTTTTGGCTGTGGTGTGTGTATGATTAATCTTCTAAATAGATGTAAGCCATTTTTGGACAGCAAAATTAGCTAAAAATTGTCAAAACGAATAATTATGCTGCAACTAATTACTACGCAAATTGTTTCTAACACGTTGAGCATTCGACATTATGGTGGTTGCAGCTATGTTTGCATGAAAAACAATATGCCTGTTCTCCTTTCAGATGCTGCAGATAATATAATGATTTTAATTACATGAAAGAAAAGCTCAATCCAGGTCATCCTTAAAACTGTTCAAAGTTTTAGAAAGCTTGCTAATCTTCAAGTGATGCTTAGTTAAAGCTTGAGGAAAATTATGAAAATGTTTAAGATTCGATTTCCTTGAACTCTTTATCTCTTTCTAACAATCCAACCTACCTTTGATATATGGTTTTGTCATCTCTACCTTAGCCGTTTATTTTAAAAGATTTAGAAACTCCATAGCTCCTTAATGACCTCAATTTCTTTCCAACTTTCCTCCTTAATGACCGCAATTTCTATTCCTATCACAAAACTAACAACTATCCAACTCTTGCACATGCTGTCATTTCCCTAATAAATTTGATTCTTCCTAATCAACCCTTGTTACCAGAATTTAAGTACAAGAAATGATAGGACTGAATTGATTTTTTATTTTTTATTTTCTTTTTAGCAATGGAGGGGTAAGACTTAAGAAGTGATAAGCGAGTAGGGTATTTAAAATCAAAACTTCTAATTTCTAGAAGCTCTCGGTTAACCATTAGATCAAGGCTTTTTCAGCGGGACATAATTGATTAATTACTAGCAATAGTTTAGGTACCCTTTTTTTTTTTGTGTGTGTAAACCTGGTGTCTGATGACTACATTAGACTCGACTAATCTGGGCCCCAACTATGAGTTTGGTATTTAACTTTCACCATTATTTGATTATTAAATTGCTAAGTTACTCGTTTTTGTTTTTGTTTTACTTGAGTTGCTAAATCAATATAATATAACATATTTCTAGTATCCGCTACTTAATTGTTGCTTAGGATGACAAATTCTGTTGGGATTGATGATTTTATTGTTATATTTGGTTTCAAAATAAGTTATCTTGAAATGGTGTTTGGATGTGGACACACAATCTATAATTAATATCATGAGTTAAATTTTCACTTACCATTCATTTCCTGAGAACCCACCCACCCACTTTATTCAAATTCCTTATCTTAGATATGGTCACACAATTTATAATGAAATCATAAGTTAAATTCTCACCTACTATTCATTTCTCTATGGCTCACCCACTTTATTTAGAATCCTTACCTATTTCATGTACAAATGCAAAGGTAACTGTTGGCATTTTATAAGGATAAAAAGCCCCAAAAAAAAAAAACCTATTGGCTTCTTTATTGCTCTCCTTCATCTGAATTCCCCATCCTTCTCTTTTGGGGTAATTTGCAATGCTTGGGTCACTATTTCATAAAGGTTGGATGTTGGATTGATGAATTATTCATGGGGATACAATTTCATTTGTTTGCCGCAACTGTTCCTACTGCTCTATGCAACTTTAATAAAATGGTTAAAATCGATAAAGAACGAAATCATTGAAACGGTGATGGTTTATTAGTTATAAACATTAGTCACAAGAAAATACATTTACTTATCGAGACATTACTCTTGAATCGTCCAATAAGTACTTGCTTTCAATAATTTTTGAAAGTATGTAATGAATGAATGCTTCAGAAAAAAAACAACACAATATGCAGAAACTATTCATCAATAGTTTCCGATAGAATTAGGTTTTACTTGTTGGTTTCTTGTTTAAGGCTTCGATTTCGCATCTATAAATGAATGCAGCAACTAGTAGAACGAAAATTATTCTATTGTGATGTGTTTTCTAGTTTTATTGAAATTAAAAAAAAAAGATGCATGGGACAGAGAAGAGAGAGAGACGGGTTGTTCATGTGTGGTTTGCATGTCTGTCCCAGTAAATCATTTTATATTGTGTTAGTATTTTAGGGTCAAAAATTGTGGGCTAAGCATTTTTTACAAATAATTACTCAGGTAAAGCCAATCCAAACTTGTTTGTTTAACTCAAGTATGAGACGAAAAGGAGATTGTTATGGCTACCTGAGTACCCCACCAGAGGAAAAGAAAATAAATGTCCTAAACCAAACATGATTACAAAGTGTATGTATGGAATCAATTCGCGTGTACATCACTTCAACAGAAATCAAACCTAATTAACTTGTCCCATTTCAAAAAGACAACACAGTCCTAGGTACAGAAAGTGACATTATTAAATCAAGAAATACAATAATTAACACATAATGAATAATTAAAGTTATTACAAGTGCAACCATATTAGAAATTAATTCTGACTACTTTATCATGCCTTGGAGTGAATTATTGCTAGGTTAATTTCACTTTGCATCCTTAAATAATATCTATATTTTTTTTTGGGTTCTAAACTTTAAAATGGAATACTTTATTGTCCAAAATATAAAATATATTTCCCTTTAGTCTTCAAAGTATAAAATATATTCCACTTCAATCTCTAGGATGTAAAATTTGTCCCGCTTGAGTATAAAATTGGTCCATTTTTTTCAACCATGTCACATAAATGGGACAAATTTTATATTTGAGGTATTAAAGTGTCGTATTTTAAAGTTTAAAAACCAAAATGGGACTCTGGGAATAATTGAAGGGTGCAAAGCGGAATCAATCTCTTTTTGCTTCAATGTCTCCAATTTTGATTCATTTCTCATCTGATCCGATCTCTTTGTTGGTCTGGTGGCGTGAATTGTTCTAAAGTCAAGTCATAATTTATTTAACAGCCTCTTGTGCTGTTGGTTGTTTCCAAAACTTTAAAGTCTTGATGTTGTAGGTGGCGGTCAAGAGTTCAACTTGCCACTTAATCGTGGCTGCCATTGTCAGAATCCAGCTTCAAGAAGAAGATACAAGGAAGACTAGTTGAAGAAGAAGAAGAAGGAAAAGGAGGAATCGAGGAAGAACAGGGAGAGACAGAGGAACTAGGAATATGAGAGAAAAATTGACTTGAAAATTCTGATATTGCCTAATGGCTTTCCACCATTTACAACTATATATACATGCTTATCTTTACTAATCAATCCAAAGCCCTGCACTAAACTACAATATTAAGAACTAAGAATTTGGATTATCTAATACATTTGGAGCCATGACAATACCCCCCCCCCCCCTTGAAAGAATCCTTGTCCTCAAGGATTGAGTTTTGAAACTGAAAACTGGAGAAATGCAACATTCATAGAAATCTTGTGAACTATCTTGGTCAACTTCAGACAATCAAAATGCAGCTCATAATCTTCTAATACCAGTTGCTTTCCCAATGGGATTGTGCTACTCAAAGACAGGGTGCAACAGAGAAATCTCTTTGATCTCACCCTTCCAAAACTCTATCAAAAGTTGTTTTCTAAGTTGGAACAACTCCTTTGCAACATCCGGTTGTAGCCAGTCCATAACCCTATTCCATTTCTGAATTTTGAGCTTTAAGTTTTCTACCTTCTACACATATTTCTTAAAGAGTAAATGTGAAACTCTTGAATGCAACAATTCCCTCAAACTACCAGTGCCACCCATAAATGTAGTCACACACTCAATCCAGTGCCACTGATTTAATCATTTCCACATCCAAAAACAAGTGTGAAACTTGTATTTGATTCAGTAGC